TCAGCTTCTCAGCAGTTTGTTGCAGGATTTGAAAGTGTTAAGATTTCACAGAACGTCTGGCCTTCTTATACCTCTCACAGTTGTTCACTGAAGTGATTAGGTGGAGGAACCTTCATGACAGTCAGCATTCCTTGGTTTTCTTTGGTCTGAAGTAGTTTTTGCAGGTGTTTCTGGGCTCAGTGACACACACAGTCCTAGACTTAAATATATTGTGACAAACATCTTGAAAGGCAGTGGTATATTTCTCCTGTTGGTCTGCTTACAAACACTCTCTTAATATCACTACTCTAAAATTAGAATTTTACAGTGAAAATGTCTTTCCCTCTTTTGAGATGTGAGATTTTGAGAATGTAACTACCTTTTACCTAAATACATTTGATGCCATTCATTCCTGAATCATAATGATAGATAAAGAAATATATAGGTCAAACTTCACATTACCAGCCACCTTCACTGAACAAATTAATTGTGCTGTAAAGAGGAGTCCAACTAAGAGGTGGACAAACATTTTTCCCATCACTTGTAAGTGGCAAAACCAGCATCCAAGGTCCTCTGCCAATTTATTCAGGTAATGTAGTTATTTTTTATTAATTAGAAATACATCCTTTTTCTCCTTTCAGGCTTGCCAGAGACACGGAGGACTGTGGTTGGCAGTTCCATTTCCCCCCACTACAACTCCTGACAACAAGTCTAAGTGTCTTCCCAGAAGCAAACTCTGCCACACAATAAAGACCTTTCTCCTACAAATACACAAGCACCAGGGACTCACTATGTGCAGTAACCTCGAATGTCTACATGTCTACATCTCCATATATCTGTCCCATGGGCTCTTATCTTATTCATATCACTGGTAGCTTTTTGTTCATTATTTCTAAATTTTGAATTCCATTATACACATTTTTTTTGTGTGATTTAGTTGTCAGTTGTTTAGGTTGTTGTAGTGCTGTGTTACTGTGGACTTTATTATTTAATTTTTCCTTCTCATGTTACATCATGGGGCAGCACGGCGGCACGGTAGTTAGCACTGTTGCTGCACAGCAGGAAGGTCCTGAGTTCAATTCCACCATCTTTCTGTGTGGAGTTTGCATGTTCTCCCCGTGTTTGCGTGGGTTCCCTCCGGGTACTTCGGCTTCCTCCCACATGCAGTTTGTGGGGATAGGTTAATTGATTAATCCAAATTGCCCATAGGTGTGAATGTGAGTGTGAATGGTTGTCTGTGTCTCTATGTGTTAGCCCTGCGACAGACTGGCGACCTATCCAGAGTGTACCCCACCTCTCGCCCTATGACAGCTGGGATAGGCTCCAGCGCCCCCCGCGACCCTGAAAAGGATAAGCGGAAGCGAATGGATGGATGGATGTTACATCATGTCTTAGAAAAAAAGTAAACCTCTTGAATCTTGATTAATTGATCACCAGTCACACAATACATCTAATATCAGTTATATTTTATTAGTGCATACGGAGAAAACATCAAATTTTCAGTTTATCAAGCAAGCCTTAACACAATCTCTCCTCTCCTCGCTTTCATACACTTCTTTTGATCTCTTGCGTGTCACACATTCACATTTTTTTCACTCCTCCAAAAATACTGAATACTGGTTATGTCTGTTGAGCCACCTCTGGCGCCCTCTTGTGATGTCCCCTTGTATTGTTTGTCAGATTGTTTCTACAGACTGTGATCATTTCTGACAAGAGCAACACCAGGATTTAAAAAGTGACCAAGTGATCATGGGCCACTGCAATTAACTGCCTGGGATTTTCATGTAACCTTTGAACAACACAAAATCATTGAACTTCACCTTGTTGTTGAAGGCATTTCACATTATGTCAAACATAAACTCGTTCTTTACAGTCATATTAAAACAGGAAGAATACCCACTTTAAATTCTAAGGTTTTAAAAAGGGCTTAAAATGAGGTAAATTAAACCTTTGCATAAACTACAAAGCATGACATATTACACCAAGTCATTATTTAAATCTCAAAAAATCAGCCACAATGCAGAAACAGGGTTTTGAAACAGCTACTGCTTCCTTCCATAAGAAGTCTTTAGGGTGTATTTCTCTGCAAGGTGCTGAGAATTAAATGTACTTGAACCCACTGCTGTACATTCTCATTAAGCCATGACTGCTCAGTCACAGTCTAATTTGGATCAGAGTTTACATTTTTTTAGTTGGACAGAATACTACTCATCCAACATTTTATTTGATTTAAAATCCATAAAACATTATAGACTATAGATTTTGATGAAGCAAATGAAGTTAATATTTCATGGAAAATTTTTTAGTAATCACATATTTTTGAATCCACAGGTCCTGTTTGTAATTTAAACTAACTTGTCACCTTAGCTTGGAAAATCTCATTAAGAATGTGTGACAAAGGTTAAAGAGAAGAAGTTTTTGGCTTAATTTCTATTCTTCATCTATTTAAAAAAAAAAAAACGAATACAAAAGACAACAAACTATATCACTTTATTTTATGTGTACCTGTAGTGATGATGAGCAAACATCAGATTGATTTGTAAAGAGAATCAAATTAAAGGTTTTAGACACTAAAGAAAACATTAGCAGCTGAAAACAATATGCAAACCAATATAAAAAAGGCTGGACCTTGATCACTTTGATTACTCATATCATTTATTATGCCTGTATAACTGAGTGATGAGCAGAGGGAGAAAAGAAATGGCTGAACTATGCAAAGTTCGTAAACTGAACTTTAACTTCTGAATAAACCAGTGCAACCTGTCAAACATGTTTTAATGTAAAGACTGTTATTGCCGTTACTGTCATCCACACATTTTTGTCCTCAATTTCCAGAATTACATGTTCAGTGAACTTCAGGTTGAAACCAACCTGTCCTGCGCTATTCTGTCTGTTCGGTTTTTGAAAATAAATGATAATAAAAACTCTATGGCATGTAGACATGGTCATATGTAGCGAATAACTGGAAACTGCACAGTGTTTAAGTTGGACTCTCACACATTAACTGACCAGACGGACTGTATATGAGTTATTAAGGGATTCAGGACATAATAAACATGCACAGTCAAACCCATTTTCCCACCAAAGAAGGTGAACTTCTTAAGTTGCTGAGCTTCATGAACAAGGTTTGGGGAATGTAACAAAGCCTTTCAACCAGGTTTCAATAAATGCAATCACATATTGATTGTTTTGTTAAAATTCCACTGTGGGGTGTACAGAAGCAATTTACTGAAACTATAGTTCAAGATACAAAATGTCTAACAAACATTTATTTTCAAATTAGTACATAATGGTTTAATACAAATGATGCCATGTTCTGAACAAGTGGACTGCATCTCTAGAAAGGTGGAGGTCAGGTGGAAGGTCTTCTTTGGTATTAAGTCATTTATGCAGAGCTCTGAGGTGCATTTAGAGTTAATGTTGAATGGTATGTGGGCAGATATTAGATTAGCTCCCAAATAAAGGCTAACAGTTGAGGTAAGAATATTACAACCAGAAGAAGCCAAGCACAACAGTTTGCAAAATAAAAGTTTAGTTCAGCAGGTCTCAACTGAAATAAGTGGTTACACCATTAAGACCCAGATTTACTAAACTGAGAAAAATCGTGTGTGTACATGTGTCTGTCTGTAATCTTTATCTCATGCACTGTCAAAGTGCATGCAGTTGAATTTGTGTCCACCACTAAAAACAGTCTTGCATTAGAGCACGGCAAGTACAGTGAAATTTGGAGATTGGAGAAAAATTGGAGATTTACTTACCTGGTTGATTGCGAATGCATCAAGACCCACACTTGTTATTAATCTCTGGCT